ATATGAAGGTTGCTATATCTTCTCGGTTGGGGTCAGTCAAAAATGTTAGACCTAATTGAATATTATTTTTTCACATTTATGCAGTTTCTGGAGGGATCAAGTTCAATGGCAGATTGATTCAATTACCGCAAGCTTGTGACTGTGTAGGCGTGTGTAGTTGTTTGCCTGTCTCGCCTAAGTAGTGTTGGTTGCAGCCCAGGCACGGGATTGCGTAGCTTACACCTGATCGTTCGCGTTGTTCGACTCGATCCCTGCCGTCGAAAAGGGATGATCGCACGGTTCTTTCCTGTTTGTGGGCGATCTTGATACCCAACGGTCTGAATATTTGTTCGGTGGCTGCTGACCTGCCGCGTATGTAGGATAGCGTTATCCGGGTTCCTACTTTCGTATGTGTTGTTTGTTTCTTACCTCTGAGGCACGCTTTGATAAAACTCCTGGGATATGCGTTTGATTGGAACAGTTGAAAGAGTCGACTTCTTTCGCTTGTCCTTAACTCCGGTGTGTTTGCTCCAGTGTGTTTGCTCGGCGGAATAGAGTTCGCACACAACTTTTTACGTGGCAGAAAGGGTGATTGCTGGTCTAGTTACGGATGCGGTCCCTCGTGGTCGGTTTTCGATAGACCGTGGTTTGGATTCTTCCGTCGGGTTGTCTCATGAGAAGGATGTCGAGGAATGGGAGTTGTCCATCATTTTCTTCCTCTCATTAGAAGTTGATACCGGGCACCTGCTCGTTGATCATTTGGTTGAACTGATCTACTGTGGAGGCTCTGAGTATGACGAATGTATCGTCCACAGACGAGGTTGTAGGATTTCAAAGGCTTTGGTTTCGAGGTGTTTCATAACCGCATCCGCAAGCAGCCCTGAGAGTGGCGAACCCATTGGAGTACCTCGTATCTGCTGGTACACCTTCCCGTCCAATTGGAAATACGTTTCCATACAGAGTTCTACGAGTTTCACTATTTCGTCCACAGAAAGTTTCGTTCTTAATTGGAAATTTTGGTCGTTTTGCAACAACCGTCGGATACTTTCGATGGCCATTTTCTTCGTTATGTTGGTGAACAGTGAGGTCACATCGAAAGAGACCATCACTTCATCTGATTCAATGATCAGTCCGTTGATGCGTTCCAGGAATGTCGTGGGACTTTTTTCATCATTTTGGTTTGCAGGTAGTCATGGGCGTAGTAGTTGGAAGAGGTACTTTGCGAGATTTTAGATGTATATATATATATACATATATATGTATATATATAGAGAGAGAGGGAGAGAGAACGTGTAAGTGAATATATTTAGTTTTCAATAATAATTTAGATGTAACCTGCTTGATTTGGATTTTCATCGTCAATGACATACCTCGATCAATTTTTCTGTCCAATCGATCACGGTCTGTCGATCAATAAATCTCCCCGAGTACTAGGAAAGTAAAAGGAGAAGACAATGGTAATGGACTAAAATGCATACATATCATACATATCATATGCAATACTGTACTCGTTCACCCGGTTCTTCACAGACTATGTCCATTGATGTTTATAGTTGCCTAATATAATTCCAGTTGTGAACAATGACTCAAGTCATCGCATGCAGCCAGAAAGTGGAGAGTCAATGGTTAGCACAAATCTCCTCGAAGTGGTTCAACTGATATGAATTCTATCGGCCAAACTCTCCACTGTCCACTCTGCGATAACTATAACCTTCACCACATAGATTAGATTAGATTAGATTCTGTCCAAATGAATACTGTCATAAAACACACTCGACAGTGTACGCGCACAGTCAGTAAAATCCATAAGGAGCTCATTCCTTATTCGAAAGACATTTCTTCCGTTCGCGTCATTGTGGTTTTCATTTCAATAATCTATCTATCTTTTCTGTTTGCGTTATTCACTGGGATCACGTTTCATTCCAGTTGGATGGGAACACTGTTTGTGTGGATGTGAACGTGCTATGTTAAGGTCAATGAAACACGACGTACTGGTCGCGGCAAACAATAACAACAACTATAGTGTCGGCCAGCTTTTCTGGACCCCTGAGCTCCATGCACCAGACAAGACTCGGTGTGTCGGGCCTGGGGGAAGGGGAGGCGTGTTCGGGGACTGGGAGGAGTTTGTGGAAACGGTTCAGCCTACTGTGCAGATAGAAGAATACATCATCGACAAGTAAACCTATTTCGGATTGACAGTCTCATTTGCTACATTTTTTAAATTTGTCATGCTGACAACTTTCTGCCTCTGAATACCTGCGAGTAGACGCATACCATGAAGCGACACGTCACAGTTTTTGGACAACTGTCCCCATAGAATATTTACACAGATGAATCGTTGCACATCGAAAAAGGAGTCACATAGAGTTCCGGGTAGGAGATAATAGAGAAGGAAGGCTAAAGTGAATTTGCGTTTGGTTTTAGTAGTGTACGAATGTGAGGTGTGCCAAGGTTTCATCGAGTCTCTGTTTGAAAGATTCATTACTGGATGCACAAACGACATGAGATGGAAGGGTGTTCCAAACACTGCATACTATGACTGCAAAAGGCTTGCGCCGGCATTCCAGTCGACACTTTGGAATCAGTAGCTTGAAACGGTGTCCCCTTAGATGTACATTGTTCGATAACATGAGTAGATATCGACACGGATGGTTTGGGTTCTGCAGCATTTGATACGTCAAAATCAAGTCTCCCCGAGTTCGGCGGTACTGAACAGAATATAGTCACAATGATCGCAATCTCTCCTCATACGTCAGCTAATGCCATCTCTTGGCCATCTCCAGCATCTTGCGATCACATTGAAGCCATGAACTCCAAGCTTGGATGGCGTACTCTGTGTAGGGTCGAATGTATGCTGATACCAAACGTGGGAATAGTGATGATTCAAATCAGCCTAAGACTCGCCAAAGTAAGCCGACAAGAACCACCTTTGCATATGGGCGAAATGACTCCTTGTTTCCACGATTCGCGGAGTGTTGCTTGGTTGAACCTTCGTTGAAACAGAATGGTTAGCGGTATATCAAACTTTACTTTCCGAATGGAGTTGATGTGTTGTACAACAGCTTAGGGTTAGAAATGAATCCCTGTGCCTCTTGGTATTTCACTTTATCCTCACGAACCATCCAGGTGCAGTGGTTCCTCAGCGTACAATAATTATTCCACGTGACACCATTCGGAAGACGATTACAATTTCGCCAGGATAAGTCCATCGTCGATGGACATTTCCTTGTATGACTTCCAATAGGTGAATTTCGGATGCCGGATTGGCAGATTGAAGTGTGTTAGATTATTGCCCCTAATGGAGGTCAGGGTGTTACTGCCTCGCCACATATGAGTATGGTTCAAACACACCACCGAGTAGAAACTTCAATTGCGGTTCATTTGCACTTTTACCCGATGAAACAGTGTCAAATAGCAATGGTTGATCACAACTCACAGGTTCGTTCACACAACCTCCTGAACCGATAGTGTGTGCGCTTGGGGAAAACCCTCCGCTTTGTGCCAGTCTTTTACTGTTAGTGAAGAACAACGCACTATAATGTCAATCTTTGCATGATGGACTTAACGGACGATTACAAAACACATTTGGTCAGGTTGATTGCGCCAGATCTGCGTTTCTGGAACATGTGCGTAGAATGCAACCATCCATCAATGTGGTGGCTGTCCTGGAGTAGGGAAGAGCAAACGTGGGTGAGTTAAGGCATACAACTTACGTTCGATTCAGAACAATCGCATTAATAACGATGTCGATAGCTGGAAAACTACCCAAAGTTGGATTCACAAAGATTACTTCGGCCTGGCTCGAAAGCACAACTTGTTGTTAACATGGACCATCGTTTACTGAAGATGTTATTCGGACTAACCCTGATCCGTGTTTTACCACCATGAGGGAATCACCATTAAAATAATCGATTTTAGTGGACATGATTCCCAAACAGTTGTTTTTTTATACGAAATCAGGCGTTGTTGGGTCCACAGATGTCTCAAATTTGCAAATGCCAACTGAGCCTTCTGTATGTGAGCTGACACTTCATTCGTGATGCTTCCACCGGGTGAGATGTAGTTGCCCAAATAAGAAAACTTATTCACCTGCTGTATTAATTCCCCAGTCAGGATGAGCCTGGGTGCTGGACCAATCGAATCTTGCAGTAACATTTTACACTATGAAGGTGCAAAACGCATACCGAACATGGCTACATTGGCATTCAACCTGCCCGGAAAAANAAAAACTTGCAACTTAACTGAATATTCACTTAGTGGCACAATGTCGTCCGGATCAGACAGTCTGTCACGTGGAAGTAAATCGATGGCGCTATTCTCGCAGGACGATAGGATTGTTTCTAAGATCGACTGGTTTTGGTGAATCAGACTGAATTTCCTCGTGCACGAACAAAAAAACAAAAACAAAGGGTGGACAGAAAAGCTAGGGAGTATGGGCGACTTCAGTAGTTGTAGTGATCAGGTTCACCATACTTCCATCCGAGTCATCACTCGGAGGGCTAGTGTGTGGATATGCGCTTAATTGTGACGCTTGAAACAAGGGGTAAAGTGGGGCAGTGCCGTATCAGCCTGATCAGTTGTCCGGTGGTCTGGTGATAGTACTATGTTTGCGCTCCAACTACGAGCTCCCGAGGTTCGCACGATCCTCGATTCCTCTGTTGGATCGACAGACCGAGCGAAGAGGAAGCAACTTCAAGGTTCACGCCTCGATTGCTCTGTACACGACCAAATTTACGTTACAATCGAACCCAATCCGTGCCACGACTGTCTGCGATGGCGAGTACTCACCCACCCACCCACCCACATCCCGCTAAAACGATTCACCTACAAGCTGCATCTTGTTTTTGGTGTGTGTGTGTGTGTGACAATCGCCATGCACAACACGTGTATCCGTTTCTGAGTATTTAATCGTCGGTCTTTCGCTTTAGTACGACACATCTCCAATCTTTACAGTGTAAAGCGATTGTATAAAAATTGAAACAACAACACACACATGGATTGCAAATTAATCACCCATATGGTTAACTTACGCCATACATGTACTTGAAGTCCGTCCAAGCTTGTTTGTTTTCGCGATATCTTTTCACAAGCACATTTCGACGCCATGCGACTCGCAGGGCATTACAATAGGCCGATCCACGATCACGTTCCTTTGGTTTTGGCAGGTGTATCGGCTGCATCCCATCGGAATCGGGTGGCATGTGCGCGGAGATGTGGGCCACGTCACCCAATATCTCTCGGGTTTCATAGTACTTGCGCACGGCTGCACACGACGCCGGCCAATGTCCGTCCGGTTTCCGGTTCGGTGTGAAATATAATTTTGGCCAAACCAGGTTCGGGGTTGTGCGGGGTTGAAAAAGGATTTTAGTCGACCGGCTTGGAGTTGCACGCAACAAACCGGACCACACGGTCGCGACACATCCACCGGGATCATCTGGATTCGCGTAGAACATTGGTCGAGTCGGTGCATGCTTAACCAGATCGGATTGTATTAGGTAGAGGAAATCGGCGCATTTCCACACGGGTACAAGTCTGGCCAGATCAAATACCTGAAGTTGCGCCAGACGATTCAGAGAGGCGTTGCATTGCGGATGAGGACAAGACCAGCACACTTCGCTCTGTGTGATCCCACAACAAACCGTATCCATGTGTCTGGTCAATTCGCCCCGTAGACACCGTTTACATGCTTGATGTTGGTGCACACATAATTCGACCGAGTCCCCGACACCACAATGATGAAAGCCAATGCAACATCGTTGCGCAGTTTTATCACTACGTAAATGTTCAGGAGAAACTATTATGAACGACGAGTCCGCTTCATCGTCCGCCGTGTTCAGAGACGGGTGGGGGATAGACTGTACTCGCCCTGTCCGGAATGCATCAAGACTTGAATCAGTTCCCTCGTCCAATGTGTAATTTTGATACGGTTGACAGGTGGACCATTGGATACTGTCATGTGGACAAATGGGAAATAATGGGACATATATATATATATATATTTATATATATACATATATATATATATGGGATATATAAGAATGACACAAAATATTATTCACATCGTGGTCAACAACGAAACTGATCTGTGTGAACTTTTATTGTACACATCAACAAAATTCATCCTGGGGGAAGTGAATAGGAAAATCAAGAGAACCTGTACACCGGTTGTCGGAAGCTGAGACTTGGTATACAATGAGTGTGCTGCTGAATCGGATGGGAGTAGTACTGGGCACAAGGACCGAAGCACGAGAAAGCCGGCAAACATCACCACCATCACAACAACATCAAAAACAACAACAACAACCACAATCACCACAGTCACCTTAGTAGCTTTAAAATATACTACTCAGAGATGAAAAGAACGGGATTGTATTCCGGCCCTGTTTGGAACTAGACAACAATCTGGACTATTCTGGACTATTCCCGGATCAGACTGCCAAGCGGAAGCCTTCTGGTTTCGGGCCTAAATCTACCCCCCCCNCCCCCCCCTCCACCGCCCTATTCGGAAATCTCTACGCGGTCAACGGGAAATACGATAGCACACCAGCACACCAGATACATAATTATGTAATAAGCTGCAAACAGATCAAATCGAAGACAGTGGATTCAGAGCCGCATACAAAATGCAGAACATGGAGAAGAAAATGCTGCCACTAATCACGACGCACACACGACACGATCAACAGTAAAACGTTCGATGAGATCGTAGTCACAATGAAGACAGAGACCAACTTGCATTTTTGGACGGAATTCCATCAGGAAATCTGGAAGCAATTGTCTACCGCGAGGCAACGCATATGGATCGAATGCTCAATTTCAAGAGTAATCACACACAGTGACAGAACACGCTCTGTCACCAACCTGTTCGGAAGTATCCAAAAGCCTTACAGCATGGAAGAAACACAAGGAACAAGAAAGGCACCTGTTCAGAGTATTTGGTTACACCTCAAGGAATTAGACAAACAGAAGACGGTGAATGGGCACGAAGAACAACCGTACCGTAAATCAAAGCCGTTTCGGAAATGGCAGTAAGACTACTCAGAACAAATGAAATCTAATTGGTGCACAAACCAACCGTCTGTCTAAGGAAACTTCCGTCAAAATCATAGGGAAGAAAATAATGGAAAAAGACAGAAGCAATGTTAGCTAAACTGTCAGAACTACCCAAAACACTACATCGTATGAAATGGAAGAAAACTGCTCTCACCAAGGTTCCGTGAACATCAGTTAGCAGTCAGGAAGCATAATCCATTCGCCTTGATCTCCTTGCACGAAGTTCGAAATGGATAACAATTCGACTTCTAATCAATGTAAAGCATTGACCATGCCTGGTCAGGGCTTAGCACCGCTCAATCAACTCAATACATAAATACAATGAACGGGATCACGTATACACGCCAATACAATTCAAAGATCCCATGACGTGACACGTCGTGGACCAAAAACCGCAGTCCAGACGGAAGGCCCCCACCCCACCCCATCCCACCCCTCTCTGACCCTTCTCATTACCGTTCAATGGCACAAACGTGCGAGCACATTGAGAACAAGGGGATAAAAGTATTCACTGAAGAATAAAATATAACATAGAAGCGAACGGGTACAAGCAGAACATCCCCACGTCACAAGCACTGAAGATGTCACCCCCGGCTTGTAATGACGCGTTTGCAAACAAAGTGCCATTCACACACACACACACACACACACACACACACACTCGATGGACAGGCAAAAATGATTAATTTAAACACACACTAACATCAATCGTGATAAACAATGTGGAACTTACACTGATTGTGGAAGTTGATTAACCGCTTCGACTGCATGATGAATTAGCGTATTCAGCGAAACAGTAGGGGGATGGGACTTCACATTGTCCGCGGTTTTCACGATGAACCTCGAATCACGTGACAGGGCGATTTGTAATCGGACAGAACAGAGGCATTCTACGGATGGATCACTCGAAGCGGCTGCTTGTTGCAGCTCTGGTTCCTCAATCACCAAATAAGCAACATGTCGCGCACGTCTCGGAGTTGTTTTGAGCAGTGCAGTTAATTCAATTGCACAAGCAACCGGTGAACTATTGCTACACAAGATTGACAAACCGTAAAAGCAGGTCCCGATCTGGACTCGGACTATTCGGTCACCGGAGATCGGATCTTGTTCCCAAGAGAAATGATCAATGCGAACCGGGAAAGGATAGGTAAGCACACGTTTACTCTTGTCCAAAAACGGATTTATGTTGCTTAGGTGATGCGGTGTTTCCACTTCCAATACAGACCATGCTTCCTCCTCACTGTCCACCAGGTCTGCTGACTTCGATTCCAGTGCATCCACCTCATTCTGCTCACATTCACTACCGGTTGACCAGTCCGGGTCGCTGTTAGTGGACGCATAGACCTGATTCAATAAGTCTTTCGGGTCGGCTTTATTCACCTCTCGCACGTATTCTTTGAGTAGATGTTTATTTTCTTTTGCACGGGGACGTATTTCGTAAAAATATTTCTCAGCATGAAGCTTTCTTCTCTCTGACACATCCGGTTGATAGAAGACAACCTCACTTATTCTCGGAATCGAGTTTTCCACAAGGTTATGGGACTCGCTGGCGATTTCTACACCTCGTCGTCCCCGACGTGGATGCGGACGGTGATGATGATTTCGTCTTCGAAACACCATCCTGGTTGCTCGGTCCGGATCTCGGTCTGGCACTGTACCGGGCTGTTGGTTTCCGGTGGATCGGCAATGCTGTTGAAGTCGTTCATTTACAATGGAAACGGTGTTTGCTCCACAACGAAGCCGGTTCGTCTTGTTTTTGCAGCCATCCGGTCGAGTTTCAGTGATCGCACCTCTCAGGGATTTGTAATAGTTGAACTGATCCACATAGTCCACGATAAACAGGTGTGTCGCATCTGCCTGGCGACAATTCATGAACTCGTTCAACTCGTCCATCAGCTCCCATCGCCTTTGTTTGTTTGGGGAATAGAACACATCCGGTTGCAAACTGTCGGGTGAAGTGGACATGCATCAGGTGACCGGATAGTGAAAGATGCCAGACGAAAAAGGACGTTTCATTGGAGTTGATGAAACGATCATTTAAATGAAATATTTGGATCCCGGATTGATTTTGAATAGGTAAGTTAGAAGACAAACACTGCGAGAGGAATGCCTTTCGTATACTCGCATCTGTCGCGTACTTATAACATTGAACAAGATAGACAAATGAAGCGAATTAGGAAATCTAGTTAGTATTAACCGTATGCGTATGTGATTGTGTACAGTGTGTATATGTGTGTGATGCACGTGATTGGTTACAGCCAGGGAAGGCCACGGGTAAAGGTCATACGCGTTCGACACACAGTGTGGGTTTGTTGTGAGCAATCGATAATGCCTCGAGTATCCTTAGTCGGTGTTTGCCTTTCGTTCGTTTTCATAATTGGACACGAAACCAGACTCAAGCCATTACCAATCGGGTGCCAAAAAAGATCATCCACATCTCGCTGCCATACAAAGGGGAATCAATAATGCAGTTTATCACAACGTATCAAAAACGCGTTTCAAAGAACCTATTACGTTGCTACATAAAGACTCCATCCGATCACACGGTGCCTCTCCCTCTCCCCATTCAAAGATCGTCATCCAGTCGAGTCTACCTCTCATTGCAGTTACGCCTGCTGTTGCAGTTGCGACGAAGCATACATTGGTAGAACCGACCGATCACTGCGAACTAGAATGACTGAACACATCCCCAAGTATGTGCGTGAGTCTATGAGTCAGCCCACACTACAGTTTCTGGCCGCATCACGTAGACCGACTTCGGCCATCGCACGTCACTTGGTTCACAAGGTGGACCTTGCGAACACATTCTCGGTTTTGTTACGTCATCGAGACAAACACCGACTAAGGATATTCGAAGCATTATCGATCGCTCACAATAAATCCTTGTCCTTCCCTGGCTGTAACCAATCTCGTGCATCACATACACACACACACACATACACTGTGCACAATCACACACGAACACGGTTAATACTAAATAGATTTCTTAACTCGCTTCATTTGTCTATCTTGTTCGACGTTATACGTACGCGATCGATGACAGTGTACGAAAGGCATTCCTCTCGCAGTGTTTGTCTTCTAACTTGTCTGACCAACAAGGATCCACATACACACACACACACACACACACACACACACGCACAACGAGTTACCCGGACACAGTAACGACCTGATGATGTGTACAGAATCAATAATACAAAGTTCTTACCTCCCGTTTCATTGTGGTCTTGGTCAGTAAGATTATTCCTGTAGTCCCTACCGTTTAACTTATCATGAGTCGCTTTCCGTCCTGCTGATCCATTGATTCATAAATAGGTCTACACTGGTCAGTTGATCTTGGTTGATGTCATCAAACTTGTCGAAAATTCACAGTTCACATAAAACCAACACAGCTCAAGTTCACATTTTACCACACTGCCGAAATACGAGCGACGTTTACCAAATAAAAACCCCATCCACTAACCCAACTCGTTGTAACACGTGACTAGCTCACCGATTCAGCTCACAGTGAGAGAAATTATTTTTTAAAGTTTCAATCTATTGATCAATCGACAGGTTGACAATCAGTCGGCTAAACATTTATTGCGAACCGTAGCCACATCTCAGCACCCCAAGGGAGTAAGAACAACAGAATATTGGTGACAACGCAAAGAACTATGAACACGATACTGTTTCCTTTTAACCTACTGGTCGCAAATGTGTATNTCAGCACCCCAAGGGAGTAAGAACAACAGAATATTGGTGACAACGCAGAGAACTATGAACACGATACTGTTTCCTTTTAACCTACTGGTCGCAAATGTGTATCGGTTATCCAGAATCATCAAAATCTCATTCTTCACGGGAAAAGTATATTGGAAGAAAACTGTGCATGTGGAAACTAACAAATAAAAATATGCCATATTCACAACGTGAAATCATTTGGAAAAAAAACGAATCGGACGGGATCGAATGGTATCTAGGTTGCACATGATAACAGCCACTGAGCAAGGATCGATTTGTTATTGTAGAAAACTCATACTCATCATGCCCACCTCACCGTTTACCGGATACTTGCAAGTATTGACCGGTAAGGGGTGTAACCTCAAATGTTGAAGGTCAGTTTGAAGGCAGATTAGTAATAATATTATTCCCAGTGATTTTTGTTAAAGACATGCAGAGATCACTTTGGAATCATTTATTGGAATTGTTCATTGAGGCCGTCTATCTTTGAAAAATTTCCGTGACGATTTTGGGGCGAGATTGACAGCGTGTTATTTTACATAGATCGATCGGCAATCCGGTGCAATTTTCGCGTTATGTACAACTTGCGTAATCACCATTGCTGTAACAGAGGACACTATAGTGTTGAAAATGCACATTTCTAAAAATAGAAACTTTTGCAGTGCCCGTTGTTCACAATTCCTGGGTTGTGAACTAATACACCATAAGACAGATTGTATAAATTACCCAAGTTTCATTTCATTTGATGGTAATCACGTGATTTATTATCAACAACAGAGGGTTTAACCTTCTCCAGTGAGGCGGAGAGAGGAGGTGGACTGACAATCACAGATGACTTGCATTTAGCTTACTTTCTTTCAATCAACGGGTCTATGGGCACATCCGAGGGACCAACCCATCGAAAACGAGCCACATTGAAGGGAAACCACAGTCGATCTGTTTTGTAGGCGCGTTGTAGCTCACAGCGTGGCATAGTCTTCAACGATCTACCATTGTTTTCCTCAGAGGTGTGTGTGTGCGAAACCAGAGTGCTTTATATCGTGTGGTACAAATAAATTATAGAAATAACGTCCTCACCTACGCAATTCCGTTGCAGCCAGCTGCACATGGGCTCCAGTGATTGGTTAATTTCTCTTTATGTCTCATAACCAATCTGCGAATCATAAGTCAACATAGACTGCATGATCTTTTAATTCGTTTGTCAGGTACTGCCCACATTTGTGAGTAGTATGCAAAATAGCGCTTATTCCGGTGGTTGCCTTCAACAATCAAAAGGTAACAAGATCAAATTGCTGTGTCTCAGATAATAACTACCGACTGCTCCATGCATTACGCAGTGTGCTGCCTTGAACTGCAATGATATGTTATACATGAAATTTCTGTTCTATGTACGCCGTAATTGGTGATACCTAACTGTTATCTGCAATAAGCAGCTATCCTCGACCGAGCACCACATTGTGCGAAAATAAATTCGCGTGAATAAAACTGAGCCAATTTGATCAATTTCCACCATAACCGCTAAAATGGTTCCCGAGCGGGTGGAATCAGTGTATCCCCACACGGTCTGTTTGTATGTATTCCAGGTGAAAGCGTGTTCAAAGAAAATTCTTGATTGTGTAAATAAACGATCCGAGCAATGTGTTGCAACAATCGCCGCGAAGTCAAGTCAAGCAATTCGAAGATGATTTATTAGGAATTATGTGAGTTTTCATAGTAATAGTTGTCATGGGACAAAACAAAACGGAAATAACAAAATGCAGAATGAATTCGAAAGTGAATTGCATGATCGTACGGTTAATCACGAGGATTCTTGTGATTCCACAATACAGACTGACCTCTTCAGCATGATCTATCTGGTCACTAAACTTGTCCCAAGCATCGAAGCACTTGGAGTCGAAAATTTCAATTAACACTATTGTATTGTATTCAAGCTTTAGTGAGTTATATATACAAGCTTTCAGCCAAGATAAAATAGACCACCGTTACAATTCTGGTAAAAACATGGATACAAGTTGGATGTAAAACGTACAAAAATATGAGTTAATTACTAAGCGCATTAGGAAGCTCAGAACGAACACTTTCTTTGCCGGTCAGAATCCGGGCAAGATAGGGTACTAAAGTGTTGCTATATGCGGATATGCGAGGCGGGATAAGTTTGTACTTAGAAACGGTGCAGGGGTGGGATTTGCCTGCACCAAGACAGTGTGAGTAGAGGATGAGTGCAATCAGATAGGATATTGTCAGGAAACTTCAAGCGCACGCATCAATATGGGCATTACACATATTGCCAATCAGAACAAATAATGGAACTTGGGAGACACTACTGATCACTAAGAGGTCACGCCGCAGCAACTTTAAATCAGCCTTCAACAAACCAGGAAAAATTACAAGAGAGCAGTACAGTGGTATAGGGAGGACACATTGTTAAACGAAAGCGTTTATCACCGACGGGTCAGAACAGAAGTAGCACAGTCTTCTTATCTGAAAAGAGAGACTTTTCAACTTGCGAGCAACACTTTGGGTATGTAAGAACCAGCAAAGGTTAGTTTCAAGTGTGACATAGCTGACCCTGCTCATCGGCTTTCCATGAATCTGGACATTGTCAGAGGGAGGCGGGGTGCGGTTTAGAGTAAAAATACAACCAAAGCATTTTTCAGGATTGAGATTAAGACCCGAAGAAGTTGAATATGAAACGAGGTGGGATAGGTTTGTGTTTTATTGAGCCAGTTCTGATTGGTCAGATGCTTGGAGAACTGGAATCAACATAACTGGGGTGTGTTTCGGGCGAAGAATGAACGAATGCAGCGTTCAGTTTTTCAATATCAATAGAGGGACTGGAAATCACTTTCTTCTGTCTGCAGAGTAGATTGATTCCACGCCACATAGATTTACAGTTCCTCGTCCCAAAAACCTGACTTGCATAAAGGGTGTCCAACTGAATTAACTTAATCTTGATCAGAAACGATAATCGTTGCATTTCGGCCCTCCTGCCACAATCAAAAATGCACGTTCCATTTCACGGCGAAGACGTTTAAGAAAAGGTGTTGATATTCTGCCATGTTGAAGGAACATTGCTATCATGCTGGGACAAATGTTTACGGGCATTTAAAGATGGGGTGTGGAACATTTTTCTGGAAACTGAAAAAAAGACATATAAAAGAGGAGTAAATCTGCACATATTTTTCCGTCAAATTCAGCCGGAACCCACAACTCTTTAGCCTCGATCCGTAATTCTTCAGACCAAACCCTCAATGCTTCAAACACCGCCCGTAGTCCTGCAACCTCAATGCACAACCTTTAGGTATGATATGCCGTAGACTAGTCAGATCGGAATTCTTGATCCAGGTCTTATATAGGAATCGGCAATGATTTCAATTGCTTCGTCGTAGTTCACAACCGGAATCGCCCACTTAAAGAACCCAAATAACTTGTTAATCCCGTTATCCTGAAAACCCGATAGTTCCGCTTCAACGCTCAATAGTAAAAGGGCCTTAAAAATCTCGCGCTGAAATACATCGAACTCGGGGAAGCTCAATGTGGTGTCTTAAGGCTTTTTCTTTTCTCGTTTACTGGAAAGATTGATACCTGTGGTAGTCAGTAGCAGCCAGGATGATTTACTCCGTCACATTTAGAGATATGAATAAAAAACTGGTGACATTTGTCGTCATGGTCCCAACATCCGAGGTTTGGGG